AGAGAGAGAGAGAGAGAAAGAGAGAGAGAGATAGAAATAAAGCCACCAGGTCCGGGACTCAAATCGTATTGGCCATGTGGAAGTGTCCAGCACCTTATGCACTATGCCATCTGCTGATCCCCTGTTGCCTTAGTTTCTGTGTGGAGTTAGAAGGGCTTAGGGAAGAACAGAAGGGCCATCATATGGCCACTGTATTAGAAAGTGTGTGACCGTGGGATTCTGCCACTTGAGAGTTTAAATGCATTGAAATTTTTAAACATATTTATGTCATATAAGCTAGTCACCTATTTAAAATTGGCCTACATGTTCATGTGAAAGAGAACCTATTATGCATTTTAAGTTTTCACTTATACTCATTACCAATTTGAAATGATCTATAACTCATGTTCCTTGTGACTTGCAGTTGTTTTGATTTTTGTTTTGTACACAAAGAAAACAGATATTTTATGTTTACATCCAACAGACAGTTTATGAAATTTTACTTATTTTCAAGATTGAAATAAATTTTGACAAATACACTTGTAACCTGTTTTCTCAGTACAGCTTGCTCGTGAATGAGGTCTCAGCGCCCCCTGCCGTCCGAGGGCCAGATTTCCCCAGGTCTGGGATGCACAGCAGAAGGCCAGGGAGAGAGGGCTGGTCTCCTCAACAACCTAGGCCTCTGTCCCCTTCTCAGATAGACAGGGCCTCTTCCTTGCCCAGGAGCCTCCTCTGCAGGCTGTAGAGGTGAATCTGGCCCACTGGTTGCTTTATTTTGTTAATGAGTTGAAATTCATTTGGATCCACCATGTTGTGAACCACCAAGTCTACCTAGTTGTAAACACTCACTGGCCTGAAGGAGACCCCACACTATTCTACGGTCACCCCTTGTGCACTCCTCTACCCTGGGAACCACTAGCTTTTTGTGTTTCTATAAATTGACATATTCTTGATATTTCACATAAAGTCACTCAACACTGTGTGACTTTTTAAAAAAAGAATTATTTTATTTAACATTATTTATTATTATTATTTTAATTTGACCAGAGAGAGACACAGAAAGAGAGAGAGGGAAAATGAGAAGGCAAGCTGCCAGGTCCAGGACTCAGAACGTGGTTGGCCATGTGGGAGTCCAGCACCCCTGACCATCATGCCACCTGACAGCACACTATGTGAGTTTTTTATTTTTGGATTCACTTTCTCACACTTAGCAGAATTTTCTAATATTTATCCACATTATAGCTGCTGTATGGATGAAAAGCATTCTATTGTATGGATATATCACATCTTGTTAATACACTAATTTACTGATGGACATTTGATTTGTTTATCTGTTTTGGCTTGTATGCTGTTAAGAACATTTGTGTACACATTTTGTCTAAGTATGTGTTTCTCATCATTTTGCCTTAATAGGTAAAGTGAAACTTCTGGGTCATATGATACATTGTTGGTCATTTTTTAAATAAATAATTATTTTATTTAACTTTATTTATTTATTTGTTTTAATTTAACCAGAAAGGGACAGAGTGAGAAAGAAAAAGAGATATGGAGGAAAAGTGAGAAAGCAAGCTGTCAGGTCTGGGACTCGAACCGTGGTTGGCCATGTGGGAGTCCAGCGGCCTTAACCATCATGCCATCTGCTGACTCCCTTTTTGGTCATTTTTCAGTAATTGATATTCCTTTTCCATTTTAGTTATAGCAGTTGACATTCTGACCAGCAATTTTGGTGTCAGGGTAATTCTGGTTTAATAGAATGAGTTACTCTTTCTCTCTTTCTTTCTTTCTCTGTCTCTTTCTCTCTTTCTTTCTTTCTTTCTTTCTTTCTTTCTTTCTTTCTTTCTTTTTCTTTCTTTCTTTCTTTCTTTCTTCTTTGTTAGAATTAGTTTATTTAACTTTATTTATTTAAATTTTGACCAGAGAGGGAGAGAGAGAGAGAGAAACAATGCTTCCAACTCTGGGACTCGAACTGTGGTTGACCATGTGGAAATCCAGCGCTCCCAACCACCTTTGAACTTGCCAATCCCAAGTTAGGAAACAGTTCCACCTCTGCTATTTTAATTTTTTTATTTTTTAGGAATGATAAGGAAGGGCAGGCAGGTAGCAGGGTGGTTAAGGGTACTGGACTCTCCAGATGGCCGACTGTGGTTCAGGTCCCAGACTCAGCAACTTGCTTTTTCACTTTCTGTCTCTCTCACTCTGTCCCTATCTGTCAAATTAAAATAAATAAACAAATAAATCAGAATGATAAGGAGTAGATGTTTTACTTTTTTTTTTCTTTACTTCTTTGGAGTGTTTGCATTTCCTACAGTACATAGCTTTTTGTCAGTGTTTACTGATTCTTTGATCTCTGAAAGAAGGTTTCTGTTATAAACAAAATTAATAGTGAATTAATTTCTAATTCCTTCTATGTTATATTATAATAGTATTTGTATATACGTTACTTACCTATGTTAGGTTAGGGCGTTTTCTGTATGTGTACATAGATACCTCAATTTGGTAATGCCATGATATAAACACATCTTAAAAATCATGTTACATACTATAAATATATACAATTTGTATTTGTCAAAAAATTTAAAAATCAGAAAAAATAAATACCTTTTAGTTCTATTTCATGTTTTGGCAAGAAGTTTTCTAAAAAGAATTTTCTGACCTTAAGCGGCCTTAGGACCTTTCTGCTCTTGGTTAACTTCTGCAAATGCCTCTTTCTATTCACAAAAAAGTACTTGGAAGAAATGACTGTGTCCAGTGAGCTTTAAGAAAATACTTCGGAGACAGTTTTACTACCTTTCTTAACCTAAGGAGGAGGTGGTTTCAATTCCTTGGTCCGGAGCTGGATCTTGGCTCTGTCCTGTACGTTAGATGTCTGGTTATAAGACCTGCCAGGCCCTCTCATTCTCTCCCACTGACCTCACAGCCTGTCTAAGGTGGAGTCTCTCAACCTCAGCACCATGGACATTTGCAAAGAATAACTCCTTCTGGGGAGGGAGCCCGGAGCTCAGCAGAGAGCAGCTGAGACACTCACATGGGGTTCTGGGAAGACCCAGCTTCTGATTCTCTGGGGAACTGCCTGGGAGTGGGGCTCTGGGTCATCTGGAGACTAGTCCCTCCCAGCATTCCCAGCTCAAGTCACCTGCCATCCCAGCAGGATCTGGGGGCTGGGCCTTTCTGTTCTAGCTGCTCCCTTCAGCAACCCCGCTGGAGGGCAGGAGGACACAGAAACCTGACCTCAAAGCTGGCACCTTGGGGCTGGCAGGTGGCATGATGGTGAAGGGTGCAGGACTCCCACGTGGTCTCATGTCCCAGATCCGGTGGCTTGCTTTCTCACTTTCCCCCTCTCTCTTTCTCTCACTCTGTTCCTCTTTAGTTAAATTAAGGTAGATAAATAAATAAAGATAAATGGAATAATTATTTCTTAAAAAAGAATTATTTATTTCCATTTGTTATTATTATTTAATTTCACCAGACTGAGACAGAAAAAGAGAAAAGGGAAAGCAGGAAAGCAAATCGTCAGGTCCAGGACTCCTGCGGTGGTTGGCTATTTGGGTATCCAACAGCTTTAACCATCACACCACCTGCTGGCTCCAAATGAAATAATTTTTTTTTTCCCTTGGAGAGGTTTTTGCTATAGGGTGTGTGCAGTTGCCAGAGCGAGACAGAGAGAAAGTGAGAAATCACTCCCCGAGGGAAGTGCCCACGCCGCAACCCCTTCTCCTCCATTCTCCTCTCAGGATCTTGGGCACACACGCACACGCGCCCCAGCCTGAGTTTAAGCCACTGGGCCCAGGACTTGAACCAAGGTCGACTACATGGGAATCCAGCGACATACCCATTAGGCCAACTGCTGGTCCCCAAATGAAATAATTCTTAAAAAAAAAAAAAAAAAAAAAAACGTGGCCCCTGAACCTCCTCAGCCCGCAGCAGGACATCCGCGAGGGCAAGAGGGTGCGCGGGCGGACCTAGAGCCTCAGTGGGTGCTGCGTGTTTTGCGCAAGCACCTGTCTCCCCCTGCACAGTCCTGCTGAGGGCTCTGGGTGCACAGCCTTCCCCGCGCCCTGACTGATCCCAAGCCTGGAGCGACCCTTTCAAATCAAAGCGGAAATGCGCGCCCTCATTTCCAAGTTTCCGCGTGCGTGCACAACCTCCGTTACAGGTTCTGGGCATGCACGCCCATTCTTTCCTGGCTTTTCGAAAACGTGCTGAGCAACTGACCCCGCAGAGCGCGCCCGCACCCTGGTGGTTGTGGCAGCCCAAGAAGAGCATTCCGATCCAGTATTGAATTCACCCAGCTGTTCCCATGGGAGGTTACCAGGGCAAGCTCTCCTGCTCAGGAACTGC